AAAGCATTTTACTTTTGGTTGGAGAAGCCTACTTACCTGATCTTTGAAGACAAAACAATTCAAAGTATTCAAACTGTATGTAACACTTTGGAATATAGAACTGAAGTGATGGAGTTTCTCAACACAGTCTGAAGATGGCAAGAGGAATTTCAGACTCTTGGTTCCAGATCTCTGGGCAGAGCCCATTTTGGGGTGTGGAAAATTAATGTCTCCTTAGCGAGTCCTTGGAGTTGTTAGGGGCTATTTCTCGAACAGAATAAATTCTCTAGAACACCATCATATCTCATTAGTCTGAAATTTCTCTATGGAGGATGTAACATTTCACTTTCCCTGAAAGAATAATATTTTTATCATTCAACATCCCTGTTCTCCTTTGCCATTTGTGCAGAAGTTTGCACTGGCTTCCATTGTTGCTTTTTTAAAACTAGTTTAGTTCTGTGTCTTGTCAATATGTTGTGATTTTTCTACAACTGAAAGTGTAGGAATTTGATTGAAATCTATAGTCTGGGGTTAACGTGTTCTACATCAAGATGGCTTGGCTAAGTCTAGGTAGTTCCTAGTGTCGGAAGCTCTTACAAATGTTGATTTTGAGGATCTGAGTCAGACTGAAGAGCAGGAACCCAAGGATGAGTTTGATCATAGGACAAGTTCTGAGGGCTGACTGCACAAGAGAATTCAAGTGGCCCTACTTCCATTCATGTAATTTTTCTTGCTTAGGATTCACTCCCCTCTCTTCAACACTAATTTAAACAATTTGTGATTTCTTCAGTAGTTATTTATGCATTTACTTTACAACTCTTGTTAAATTGATTGATTGATTAATTCATTCATTCATTTAGTATTTTCCTCAGTGTCCACTCATTGGCCACTAAGTGGTAGGCATTTGTCTCAGTGGTGCAGATTCATGATATGATCTTCTTTCTCCAGACATTCACCGTGTGGTTAGTTCTTCCCTGTTAACCTACCTATGTGGGTCTCCAAGGTCTAATACTTTCCTCGGGATATATGCAATTGGAATTGTGTTCAACTTGTTTAGTTCCTGAAAGGGCCCGCCATTGACAATGACTAAACATTTCCTTTAGCAAATGTGTGTTTTTCCTTATTTTCTTTCTGTTTTTCTTTGTTTCTTTTCTTTTCTTCTTCTCTCTTCCTCCTCTCGTGTGTGTGTGTGTGTGTGTGTGTGTGTGTGTGTGTGTGTGTGTGTATGTGTGTGTGTGTGTTCATATATGTGCAAACTACAGCTCAATCTACAGTATCAATCCTCAGGTGCTAACCAACTCTTACATTGAGGCAGAGTCACTCATTGCTTGAAACTCTCCAAGTAGGCAAGGCAGGATGGTCAGTAAGCTCTAGAGTTCCATTTGTCTCCACCTCCCCAGAGCTGGGATGATTGTAGTGGTTTCTTCATTTTTTAGAACTCATGGTTGGGCTTTTCTTCATGGACCAGGCTTTAGTACACTTACTAACAAAGGGCTGATTTTCAGAATGAGAAAATGCTGTCAGTTGGTTTGTACTTTTGCACTTGGTTATTGATTTTGCTAAAAAAAAAAAAATAGATGATTTCTAGGGACACTGGTAAACGACCAGTGCAAAAGGGTCATTTCAACACAGCTTTTATTGTCAATCTATAGACCAAACCTCAAATCTATTGTCTTTGTATGTATTATATACTCTACAAGCACTCTTTTCTGAAATCTTGTGAGTGTATCTGACTTTTTTTTATATAATGGAAGGACTAAATTAAGGTGATATCAGTTCAGATCTTTCTTGTATGCTGCATCTGCTCAGGGGTAAGGCTTTGGAAAGTTACCCAACTTCAAGCTATCAGTGAGGAACGATGTGTTACTGGAGAATTTCAGTGACCCCTTACTATAAGGAAGTCCAGGTTGGGCTCTAGTTTTATAAATAAAACAATTCTTGCTTTGCTGCTGTGAGAATTTTCTCGTATTTTTGAGGCTGTCAAATAAGAGGTTTGTCCTTCCTTCCTTCCTTCCTTCCTTCCTTCCTTCCTTCCTTCCTTGGTTTTTCTAGGCAGGGTTTCCTCTGTATTGCTTTGGAGCCTGTCCTGGAACTCACTCGGTAGACCAGGCTGGCCTTGAACTCACAGAGATCCACATGCCTCTGCCTCCTGAGTGCTGGGATTAAAGGCATGCACCACCAACACGCAGCCCTAGGCTTGTTGTTTCTTACAGCAAAGGTGTTTGCAGAGGAATTGATCAAACTAACATTGCTGATAATCTCATTGTGGAGGCATCACAGATGTTTTTGGGTATTTGAAGTTACTAAGTTTGAAAACATGGAGGCATCCAGGAACAAAGTGGCTTCTGAGCACAATGGGGGGCTCGTTCTCTTGGCTAAGTCATCCCTCTGCTGGGAAGAAGTGCTGCCCCTGTTCTGTAGGTTACAACCCCTCTGGTAAGGAGTCTTCCACAGAACTCACCACAGAAGCCTCAAAGGTAGCCTTGACAACAGGGAACCATTGTTAATGAGATTCACTCCCCCCCCCCATCCCTGACAAGGGACCCAACATGCTTTTTGAAAAGGGGGTAAGGAAGGCTCATTATAGCCACAGGCAGAGGCTATCAGGGAGAATAGATTTTACCTTTTGTTTTGGTGGGAGTCAGGAGGAAGAGGGAGGTAGAGGAATGCTGTGTTCTTTACATCCATATCAATAGCATCCAATCTTAGTACAATGAATTCAGTGCATCAGTGTTCTTCCTCATAAATGTCCTATGCTTTCCCTGTCTTGGGATATGCATTGAAAAAACAACATTTTGTCAAAAAGGCCAAAGCTGAATTACTTCCAACAGGGAATAATGAATTTCACAGTCTACCTACTGTTCCAACACCTCTAGAAAAAACAATAGACTATCTAGTTAAATTCGACTATTAAACTGATATTTATTTTATTATAAATATATCCCAAATAGGCACAGGGCCTGCTTATGTTAAAACTAATTTGTTGCTTATTGAACTTTTAACATGGAATTGCATATAGGGAGCAGTAAGAGAGAGATGAACTTAAAAATACTTTTCTTACTCTTTGAACAACTAGACCAATGTGAAGACCTTGATCTTCACCAAAGATTTCCTTTGGATTGATGTTAGGCGACTGATGTTTCTAAAACACTCTGGCATTGAGTCCCTATCCTTTCTATGTCTTCCCTAGCTGCTTCCAATCCCATGTCCCATGGAATAGGCATTGGCCCGAGAAGATACCTGCAGGTGACTTGACCATTGTCAGTATGGATAGTGGATGGAGGCAGCAGTATCAGCCTTAGTGATGAGGCAATGTGAACTCTGAAATTGTGGATACTGGCCTGAGTGGCATGTTCATTCAGTCCTCCTGAGTCAGGGATGGTGTAGAGCTCTGGACCATGGGAATAGTTCAAGGGGGGATTTGGGGTACTTAAAAGAATTAGACTTGTTTTTATGTTGCTTTTTCCTGCTTTATTTTCTCTCCTCTCTCCTTTCCACTTTCCTGCTTGTATTTTCCTTGCCGACCCCTACGCCTGAGGGTGTGAGTCATGTACCAAGCAAGGGTTTAAGACTTGACTTCTTGAACTAGCACCATGTTGATCTGGAGAGTCCATAAAGTGAATGAGGTTAGGCAGTGTAAGAACCCTGCAAACCAGGTCTTCCCAATGCCCCGGGAAGGGCTAAGGCAGAGTATAGACTCTGCCTGCTTTTCCTGTTTTCAACTCAGTAACCTTGCCTAATGATCCAGGCTTGGGGGAATTAAACACAAAACCAGAAGAGCCTTGACATTTGTAAAGCACTTAAAAATGTACAAGCAGCTTTCAAAATATCATTCCACTGAGTTCTATTAATTTAGGGGTTGTTCTAACTTCAGAGAGGCTGAATGACATGCTCAAGGTCACCAGGTCCTAGGTGACAGAACTAGGTTTTACTATTAAGGCCAATACAGCTTTCCTTCTGCAGGGAGGAAAGCTGAGGTCACAGAGTTGTGTGCAATGTTGGAGACATGCAGAGGGAGCTGGGAGCTCAGGGCCAGGTCGGCTGGCTGACACAGAAGGCCACCTAGCAGTCTTCACCACTGTGAAGAGTGACCTATGGGTCCTGAATACCTGGCCAGACCACAGGGAGCAAGGGGCAGTGGACGTCAGAGAACCCTTCCACTGGGCTTCTTTGGTTGGCTTGGGAGCCATACCCTGATCTAGAGGGATAATCAGTGGGGCATGTGGGTCTCTTGTTTGGCTGGGTTCTTTCTTTTCCTTTAGAAGCACAGAGTGCAGAGTCATGTGTGAACTTCTGGAGAACAAATTCTTGGTATTATTATTGAAAGAATTGGGTATAGGAACAGACAAGGCAAGGGGCATGCCGGAGCCAACCTGGGCAGCAGGCTTTGAAGAGGAAGGCTTCACACATCTTAGAGGGGAGTCAAAGTCTCTAAAGTGAGCCCACCTCTCTCAATCTCTCTCTCTCTCTCTCTCTCTCTCTCTCTCTCTCTCTCTCTCTCTCTCTCTCTCTCTCTCTCTCTCTCTCTCTGGAAAGCAGAATTCAGGAAAATGGGAGTGAAAACCCAGAAGTCATTTCTAGGCAGAAGGCCAAGTGTGGCTGGGTTTTTTTTTTTTTTTTTTTTTTGTTACTTGGTTTTTTACTTTTATTTTTTTGTTTTTGTTTTTTTGTTTTTTTTTTTGTTTTTTGTTTGTCTTGGAGCCTCCAAACTGTCTCATCCACAAAAGCTACTTTGATTCCATCTCCTTCAAGGAAGTATCAAGTTGGAAACCAGATATTGGATTGAGGAAATTTGTGTGAGTTAATATTTGTCGGGCTGGGGGAGAGATCTGTATCTAGAGGCAGGTCACAGAGCAGGGCTCTGTGGTAAGGTGTGGATTGGACTCAGGTTGCAGATGTTCTGACCGTCACATGTTCCTTGGCTGTTTCCTCTTTCTTCACACACTGGCCATGGGGAAATCCCCACTGGGCGCTATAAGAATCCCTGGGCTGTAGGAAGAAGGCGCATAGGCAAAAAGGCAAGATGAATTACAGCCTTGCTTTTCTGCTGGCCCTTTCGCTCTGTCTTGGCTCTGCCTCCGGGACTTCAGAGACTCCAACCTCTACCTCTTCCCTGGATTTGGCTCCAATATCACCCCAGGTTACAACTCCCCTGTTACCTCCAGGAGCCACATCTTGGGCAGAAGCTGGTACTGTGTCACAGGTGAGGGAGTTTCTGAGTCTGGGTGAGCTATGTTCAATTCTCTTCCTCTCAGTTTTTGGGGACCTGAATACAATTTCATGGATGACTAGACCTGAGCACTTTAAAGGATTTATGACCCTTTCTGTTCACTGTAGATGTCTTGGAAATGAATTAAAACCTGGGTGAAGTAATTAAATTGTTAGCAGGAGACACAACATCCCAGTTTTCTACTAATGCTTTTGGGGGAGGCGTGTTCTAAGAAGTTCTCAACCCAGGCTGACCAATAGAATCAGTGATGAGGAGAATCCTAAAAGTCCAGATGCCTTGGTTCTAGCCTGCAGAGATGTTTATGACTCAGGCATTTAAAAAGTCTAGTTGATTCTAATATGTAGTCTGGGATGGGAGCTTTTAGGATGGAGATCCCAGAGAAACCACTATTGCAAAGTTTATTCATCTGATTTGCTGCCCAGAGGGAGCCTTTGAGGGTAAATAATACACTCTGAGGGAGTGAGAATCTCCATGCGACAGCTGGGGCCCTGTCAGGTCCTCTCTACCTTGTTTATAAGGAAGTTGGCCATCAGGTCTAAGGACATGGTAAGGTCAGTAGAGTGCTTGTGCAGCGAAAGCCACCCCGGCCCTCTCACTAGCATGAGGACTGGTGTCTGTATCACTACCACCCATGTAAGAAGCCAGGCAAGGCAGCACCCATCTGCAACTCCATCACTGATTAGAGGAGGCAGGGACAGGAGGGTCCCTGGGATTACTTGTCAAACATTCTATCTCATTGGTGGGCGAGCGCCCGCACGAATGCAGAGAGAGAGAGAGAAAACATGGGTTAAAAAGAGAGGAATTATTAGGCTTAGGAAAATGCCATTGCAAGTGGAAATTTCCCAAGGGAATGCTAACTCTTCTCAATTTTTTTCATAAGGAATTCCTGGGGGCTATTTCCAGGGCCAAACAATTGCAGCAGTGAAATGAACTAACAAAGGCACTGTGTACTACAGAGATGGCCCTAGAGAGGCCCCTTGTGTAGATGGCACAGATTGCCCAATTCTTTGGGGGATGAGAACTTTTTGGCTTTCCTTAAAATAAAGAGGCAAGGGGAAGCTGCAGAATGAGGGACAGGAAACTGTTGCCCACTTTACCTCCCTCCGGGCCTTTCTGGGGAAGTGTTCCTTTGCAAAGCCTCCCAGCCTTGCTGCTGTATGATTTGTGCTTGAGGGTTCCTGACTCCATCAAAGTGCCTCCCTCAGAACTATCAGGCATTTCATTTAGAGACCCTCCAGCCTGCCACTTGCATGAACTTGTCTGGGTGGAAGGATAAATTGGAAAAGGGGAGGGGAAGCTTCTGTTTGAGTGTTTGCATTAGCATCCTTAAAATGTATAGACAACAAAAATGTGATCTACAAATGGCTTTCGTGGGACCTAGAGGGCGATGGCGTCAATGATATTCAGTGCATGCCTAATGAATGCCATGACTAGGCTAGTACATATGCAGCTTATTTCACTCACAAGAGTCAGGTAAAAGTAATGGATCCATTCTAGAGATGTTAAATCTGAGGCTTACCATGGTGAGGTCATAATGAAGTGACCAAACTGAGAGGGTATGTCTCCCCAGATTAGTCTGCTCATGCTAGTGTAGTTGTTTCATTCAGGTTTTTATTCATTTCAAAGGAACCTGTTGTGAAAATCATCTCTTTGTGTGCAGCTTCCTATGTTTCTGGGGAACAGGTGAAAATTGCTTTTAAAAGGAGAAAGTTCAGAGAATTGCAATTGCACACCACCTCGTCGGTCATCAGAAATCCCATATCTACTCACTCTTACCTGAGTGAGTTTCTGAGGATAATGAGAATGGGCTACCTGTTTTGTTTTTGTAAAGTGAGGTTAACAATAATAATTTGCTATAAAGCTTCACTACCAATCAAATCCAGCATTTGGATATAACATCTTTAGCTAAAGAAATAGAAAATAAAGTATCAGTCAAGAAACAGAGAGATTTAAAGTGCCTGCTCTCTGATAAGAAGACCCATATTTAAAAGTAGTAAGAACTAGTAGTTAAATTACAGAGGATTCGATTTCTTTCATCGTTTACTTATCTGCCTGTGGTGAGTGAGTCAGTATCACACTTCAACCTCCTTTTTATAGTGGGCCAGGTGTCAATTCCACCATAAACCTAATTTTCTAGGGCTGGCTGTCATCTTGATGAGTTTGTTGGGAAGTAGTGGGAAACCCTTTTATAACTGTCATTGAGCAAGTTCCAAACGTATCATTTTCTGTACTTTGGAAACTCTTGAGTACCATTATTTTGTGTCGTGAATCTTTGTGGGCACTTAGACTTGGCTGCTAATTAGAACCAATTGCGACCTTAAATCACAGATGTGAGTCACACCGTCTGCTGGCGGGTTCAGAGCACTGCGCATACCTCCAAAGACTTGGCCACTTCCTTTCTTGGATCTAGGAGAGGGTCCTCATGGACACTGGCAGGGTTAGAGCCACAGTGGTCTGTGTGCTTTTGTCGGCAGGGTCTGGGGCTGTTGGAAAAGCCCCTAGGGCACTCAGAAAGAGAGAGAGCCTGATTGGGCTAGAATTGGTTCCAATCAGCTTCTAATTCCAGAGCATGGGGTATTGAAGACCTTCGTAAATGTTAATTGAACATATACCAAGTAAGAACTTAGCAGTTTGGTCACTCTTGTGGGGCATGCAGGGTTCTACTTGCCCTCCACAAGGGGATTTCATATCCCTCCAAAGGCCAAGGGGACAAACTCTTGTCTTTGTGTCTCATTCCCCACATTTCATTCAAGTAGTTTGGGCATTCACCGCAGAGAGACTCATCACCATTAGCTTCATTGTCTTTGAATTCCAGGAGCAGAAATCTCTCTAATGGGAGACACTGATCAAACTTATGGACCATTTTGATGTCAGCTGAGCACGCTGGGCTGATGATAAGCAGGGTGGACTCCACAGCACTGGGACAGAGATGTTCAATAGAAGCCAGTGGAATGGCTGTCGGCAGGGCTCATAATTATTTGCTTGTCTTTCAGGTGAACTTCAGGACTGACTGAAAGTTGTTAGCTAGTGGTTCCTACTTGGTTGTCTAGACTTCTTGATGATATCTGCTGTTTCCAGAATTGACAGAGCTTCTTGGAGAACTCCAGCAATGGTCCCCCCTATCTTCTGCAGCTAATTAACCTCCTCTTGTCAATGCAATGCAAGATTTCTTTTCTTTGCTAGATGGTTACTATAATAAGGTATCTCTTCAAAAGCCTGTAAAACACTTGGCACACCTGTGCTAGAGTCTTTCTGTCTTTAGATAGAATAATAGATCTGAGTCCAGTAGAATCTAACCTCTCTGACAGGTTCTTGGTATGTATTGTCCAGTCTTTATTCATTCTTTGCAAAGACCCTTCTCAGCCCCAGTCTAACCCCTTGCTTCCATGTGCAGCATAACCCTGCTTGCTCCCACATCTCACTCCCTTATTCCTACAGATGGAGAGATCTGCTTGGACAAGAAAGGACAGTGTCAAGACTTTTCTTGCCATGGAAGGCTGGGAAGGTAGCATAGCTGATAAATTGCTTACAAACACAAGGTCTTGAGTTTAGTCCCAGAACCTGCAATTCAAAAGCCAAGTGTGGTAGTGTGGGTTGTTGCCCCAGTACTGGGGAAGCAGGATGAGAAGGATCTGTGAGACTCACTAGCCAGCACCCTAGCCTAATTGATGAGACCCAGGCCAATGGGAGACTCAAGAAAAAAAGGCAAATGTTGCCCAAGGAATGACACTTGGGATTGTCCTCTGGTTTGTACATTTTCCTCGTGCGCACGTGCACATACACACACACTCTTCATTCTTACAATCTTAGAAAAGCTTAGGTTAATTTAAAAACCACCACAGCCACCACCCTTTGCAAGAACCTTAATTGTCCCAGAGGTCACTGCTGGACTAAATCTCAATTACAGGAGCATCTGGGCCAAGTTTGTACAGGGTCATAGAGATTGGTAGAGGTGGCTTGTGTGTAGGGCAGATACACGCAGCTACTGCCAGCTGATGTGAACTTTGAAGCTTGGCTGGAGTCTCTCCAGACTCTGAAAACTGCTCTTTCCTCTGTAGTGACACAAAAAGTCCCTTCAGGCAGATGCTCCATAGGTGAGCTTTGGGCTGGCCTTCAGATGAGATCATTAAAAGGCACAGCCAGTTGGCTGACAAGACTCACTCTGCAAGGCAATGGTAGTAATGAAAAAATGTTAATTGTGCCAGGATCCCCTTGGGGTAGTTCAAAGGGGACAAAAGAAAAACAGAATCTTTCAAACCTGTCATTTTAAAATATGCAGTGGCATCGAAGTGTGAGCCTGAATATCTTAAAGAAACTTCAAATATTTTAAAATGATATTTCTTTTGCAAGTGGAAAGCTAGAGAACTTCTATTTGAAACATTTGCAAGAAACCTCTAAATTTATATGCTGCCCAATTTTTGAGCAAATAGATGGCTTGTTTCCATTTGGAAAAATGTGAATTTTATAATTTCCCAGCTGAGGAGAGGATTTGAATTCTCACTGGATATCTTTACCACGGCCCACAACCCTTCATATTTTCTTTATTCTGATTGGAAGGAACTGGGCTAGGATTGGAGTAAAAGTGTGCATGTGTGTGTATGTGTGTGTGTGTGAAGGTGTATGTGTGTGTGTGTGAAGGTGTGTGTGTGTGTGTGTGAGAAGGTGTGTGTGTGAAGATTAGTAGAAGGAAAGAGAAAGTGACAGCACCCAATCACCTGTCGGAGTGCCGGAGACTCAGCACACATCACTTGCTTACTTCAGTCATAGAGGAGGAAGCAGACTTAAGGTGATGCTGGGCATTGGTGGTGCACACCTTTAATTCCAGCACTTGGAAGGCAGAGGCAGGCAGATCTCTGTGAGTTTGAGGCCAGCCTGGTCTACAGAACAAGTTCCAGGACACGTTCCAAAGCAGTACAGAGAAAAATCTATCTTGAAAAACAAAACAACAACAACAACAACAATAACACAATAAAGTGTCACATCCAGCAAACAGAAGAATGGATGTTCAAACTTAGTGCTTTTGGCCCCGCTATTTCCCTTCCTTTGCACTGAGATAGAGTGATTTCTTTAAGACCCCTCAAGCATGGACAATCTTACTTTTGATACAAGCTGCTGGCAGAGGCTTAGCCAGCAGGTGGAGATGGGGTCGGCTTGTCTATATGACAATGTTCCTTGATGTGTTGGACAATACTTGTTTGCCGCCAGTCACTGATTTGCCAACCCAATTTCTGTCATTCCTGTTGCCTAAAAGGTTCATTTCCAAGGTTATCACTGACATTTGCCTCTTATTATTTGCAGCCGTTTTCCAATTTCACGGGCTCTGTGGACAGCCATGGGACTTGCCAGTGCTCTGTTTCCCTGCCTGACACCACCTTTCCTGCTGACAGAGTGGAGCGCTTGGAGTACACAGCTCACAACCTTTCTCAGAAGTTTGAGAAAGAATTTTCTAAGGTAGGTGTATTCTTTTCAAACAGTAGCTTGATTTAAAGTAAATCTCTGAGCACCTCTTGGTAGAGAGTGAGAACCCAGGAGGAGAATGGGGTGGAGTTTCAGCACAGAATGGGAAAAAGTCACTGCAGGACTCTGGTCCTCACAGTGGGAGAGTGGGAAACTCTCCACCCTGCCACGCTGAGTGCCTTGTGGTTTCTTCTCTCTGGCTTTCATTTACCCTTCCAGACTTGATTTGTTTTCTCTTTCCTCTTTTCCACCCTTTTTAGCACTTATCTTCTTCCACTGTCATTTCAATGAGGGTATGTTTAAATCTACATAGTCCCCCTTCTCTTTATTCTCCCCTACCATGGTAGTTAGTTTTGGTTGTTAGAACAGGAACATTTCATTCCACGTGTCTCCCATGAGCCCAAAAGTGAAGGCCTTTCTTTTTGGGATTTGAATGGAGGTCAATGGGTCTCTCAGCCTTGGGGAAAACCCTAGCTAGAACCTTCTGGTCTCTGCTCTGTGCAGCCTGAGGAATTTATTCTAAAAGATTGTCTTTCTCTGAGTCTGTGCAGCCATGTGACTTGCCATTCCAATTTCAACCTCTTCCAGCTTTTTAGCCAAACTACAAATCAATTAGAAAGGCTCCCATTTTATGCTCAGGTGAAGTCCAGGCTAGAATATAATCACATTATGCATTATTTAATACAACCCCATTAATTTACCAGGAGTTCTGGCTTTACTGCAGCCTTCTAAATAAGTTTTCCTGAGCAATTTGCGTATAAGCCACCACAACATCCAATACAGTTATCTTTTAAGACAAAACATTACGGTGAGCCTGAGATCCTACTTTCAACCTGAATTGGTACATAAATATTCTAAGTTAGAATGAGTGTCCAGGAAAAATGTGTTTGACTACTTCAGGAACCTAGCTTCTTCAGAAATAAAATGTCCTTGAATTAATCAGCAGAAAAGGCATAGCACTAAATTATAAATTCCAACCATTAATATTCATAGCTTTATTCCAGCATAATCAAGTAGAGATAAGAAGTTATGCATAAAAACATAACAAGTAGAGGAAAATCCTAGGTAAAGGTCTCTTTCAGTTGGAGTCATTTGCGTTGAAATAGTGGAAGCCATGGATTTGCACTCTGTCTCTGCTGGCAGGGGTGTAAAGGGCAGTTTGAAACATCAAGATTCCCCAGAAAGTGGACATGGCTTGCCAGGCTTGTGAATGAGGGGCATTTAATTCCAGTGCTGTAAGTGTGGTTGGACATGTGACATCTGCTTTGCTAATAATTGGCAGACAGAGGGGACAGAAGAGGTGGGAAACCCTTCAGTTCTGAAGATGTCAGTAGTTTGTCTCCCCCACTCCCCCCCCCAAAAAAAAAAAGAAAGAAAGAAAGAAAGAAAAGAAAAAGGAGGCCTAGTAAAGGAGTTTACCATCAGCTGAGGTTTGCATGGCTGATTTGGTGTGGTGTGGTGGAGACACCAGTGTTAAGAGTAGCAGCCTTCATTTGTATTTGTCCAAATGCTTCTAGTATTCCTGTTCTTTCAAGCGTACCTTTACTGGAGGGAGACCACATCTCCTCACTCCCACTTTAATGATGGAGACTCAAGGTTCACACAGGTAAAGGGACTTCCCTGAGGTTATTCCTCCCTTGGCGGCTACAGTAAGGTCAGGGGTTTGAATCTTCAGAATCAAGTCGGACCTCTTTCCTCATCCAAGCTGTTTTTACTCTTCTGCGGAGACTCAAAATACAGAGTAGGTCAGTTATGCTTTCAAATCCTGAGTTATCTCTTCAGCGGAGGGCTTCTGGATTTCCAGGTGAATTATTACAGCTGTCCCCAGACTGTCTTAGAAATCACCATTTATCTAGGGGCCGGAGGGAGGGGGGGAGTGCCCACTCTGAGCAGGTGAAAGGCTTGAGACTGCCTTCCATTAATTCATTATCTGTCAGTACACAGGAAAGTCAGGAAGCTGCCACTGCAGAAGATGCAGAAAGCATTTTAGACATTTCTGTTGCTCATGACACATCCTGTATGATTATACTTAGGAAGAAGATGCCACAAAAGGCAGTTCAGGTTGTCTTTTTTTTTTTTTCTTTCTCTTGAGGTTTTGGTCTTTAGGGCAAGTTATGCAGTATGACACATTTGCTAATAGATGCTCATGCATGACAAGCTTGAGGCAGCCTGGGAGGTATTTGAGAAACCCATAAACAAACAATATTGATTGAGCAATGCTTTGTGCAGTGGAATAAAAGTAAATTAAAAGGTCAGATTGAAAAACACTGAAATAACTATTTCTCTGTTAATTTCTAGAATTTATAGAGCATCCATTAGCGAATCTCTTAATGTATATCATCTCCAGTCTCTACAATAATCTTGCAAGCTTGATGTCATTACCCTTGGGTTGGGAAGTATAGTAAGGCTTAGAGAAATGAAGTGATTTGCCCACTGGGTACTGAAGTTAAATTTGAGCTCAGGCAGTTCTTGTACTAAATACTGCATGTTTTGATGATATTTTCAGGGTCAATTAACCTAATTGCTTTTGCTTTTAAGGATATGTTGAAAATAACAGTATGTTTCAAAGTTCATTTACTTATTTCAAGTAATCTGGCTATAGTTATGATCCTGGGTTTTGGGAACTGACAGAACTATGAACCAGACTAATTATTCAGCTGAACAGCTAGACACACTACCTCCTTATTTGTGACACGACTACCTTTATTGTAAGAAACAAACTCCAAACAAATTTTGATTTCCTTTTAATTCATGACTTGTTTAAATATGTGCCAATAAAATAAAGCAGGAGCTGTGAATGCCAGCCTGGTGATTTAAAGGCAAGCATTGTGAGTGTTCTTAGGCTCACACTTGCCATGGTGATGAAATTGGGGCGAAGATATTATTACAGCAGCAAATCCTCCCCATCTAAGACCCATATTCATGCTAGCATGTTTTTATACTACCTCTGGCCTCTAAATGCCAGCACCACATACTCAATCCCTAGTGTGGCAACCAAAATATCTCTAGACATTACTGAGCATCCCCTGGAGACAAGCTGTCTGCTTGGACCTCCTCCTTCTGTTGTGAACAAGCATTCTAAATCCAGGAGGGGAAAATGTGCTAAAGGTTCTAAGTGCTAGTGGTGTGAGGCTGAATTCATCACTGGGTATGCTAGTCTGCCATTAACTGAGATGAAACTACAAGATCTCAGAGCTGACTGTCTATATCTTTGCACAAAATCTACACAACTGTAAATTTCAAATGTGAAGCCTTTCTGGCCCATCTTCAAATTTTCTCCTGCATACCACAACTGTGGACAAATCTAGTTTTTCCTGCATACCACCCAGCTTTTCTGCAAATGTCAGCAGAAAGGATCACCCTTCAAAATTCTGTGCGAGGTTTACAGAGACCTTTTGTTGTGTAGCTGAACTTGGGGCAGACCCAGTGCAAGTTCTCACAGGTCACAAACTCCAGGCCATGCCTTGGCTTTCTGTGATAATCAGGGGAAACCTCATTTTCTTTAGCAGAGATGACAGTTGCATCACTCATTTGCACAGAACAGTAGCTTTAACGTGCCACCAAAGTGTTCCAGGAAAGCAGAGGGTATTTCATTTGTTCCCAGAGCTGGCAAGGCCAAATGCCAACAAGCACACTCATTTCTCAAACTTCTATTTCTGTAATGGATTGGTGCATTATTGTTATGTTTTCACCAGAGGCAAGGGTTTATGACCATTTTTTTTAAGAAATTGAAACCTGAGCACCTTATGTCTGTGTTAATTTTTTTTGAGGGGCTTGTTATATGCACTACCACACTCCTTTTTGAAACCTGTATCCACAAAAATATTATGATCCCTATAAGCCTCCAAGTAATGGGGCATCTGATGGCAGTGAGTGTTGTTTGCCTGAGGAGATACAGTAATGGTTCTCTGTTCCAATGTTCTTTAGAACCCTCTTTTTTTGAGGTCCTAGTTCTCAACTGGGGCCCATGAGTCTATTCTAATTTGCATGATGGGGTTAAGTGGAAAGGCTACAATGACAGGTGTTAGGGCAGCCTTTGTCATTAGAAAGACCACAGTTCAACATCTGTCTGAATTCATCCAGGCACTTGCCATTAGTGCAGTTGGGGGAGGAGTATTACTTATGCTCACATTTAAGAAAGAAACCGAAAGCAGCAACTTTTTAATGAGCAGGTCTTTGAAAAAGCCATGACATTTCTTTTAGAGATCAGATACAAAAATGTGTCACCGACTGTTTATTGAAATATCCTTTTGGAGGTTCCAATTATACACTCAACCACCAAGGGAATTTTTGGAAGTATTTTAACTTAATGATCAGACATTCAAATATATGCAACAAATGTGTAATTTAAAGGTCTGATTGCAATAATCAGTTCTTGGAACAAATGTGAACTCACTTAATGAAATGTGCACTTTATAGTTGTGCCTACACTCACATATTATACAGTACATTGGGTCATCATGCTTCTTTGTAAAAGGCAGAGGGGCTCAGAATTCTCAGCACATGATTCCCAAGCAGAGGATTCTACTCAGTGGAGATGTCCCCTCTTCTAAAAAATACTGAGACTTTGAGAGAGTAATGGCTCTAAACAAAAGGATTATAGAGGTAGTGTTTTGTCCTAGAGAACATTTTCTTTTTTTTTTCTTTTCTTTCTTTCTTTTTTTCTTTTTCTTTTTTTTTTTTTTTTTTTTTTTTTTTTTTTTTTTGTCTTTCAAGACAGGGTTTCTCTGTATTGCTTTGGAGCCTGTCCTGGAACTTAGGTCAGGCTGGCCTCAAAGTCACAGAGATTTGCCTGCCTCTGCCTCCTGACTGCTGGGATTAAAGCCACCAACACCAGGCTCCTAGAGAACATTTAATAATGTCTTGAGACATTTTTGGTTGCTATAACTGGGAGCAACTGAATATCCTACAATTCACTGTATAGCTGCCCACAACACACGAGAAAGAGACCTGCTTAAAATGTCAATACCATCGAGGTCAAGAAAGTCTGATTTAGAGCAAATGACCTGAGATGAGAGTTGGTCCCAAGCAGTTCAGTCCAATGAGCTAGCGTCCTCAGACTTGAAAATGGATATTATAATAAACATCCAGGTTTTTTTCAGTGTAGGTGTGACCCAAAGCCACAGTGATATGCTACTTTTAGTTTGCATTTGGATAAAAAAGGGGTAGCTATATTTTGAAACACTCCTTTGCAAGTGATGACAAGGATTAAATAACCTTCAAGTATTTTGTAGTGGAGGAAGTCTATTTGCTATCACTCTGTGAGTGGACATGCCCTTTTTGCTTCTCCTCCAGGTGAAGGAGTATGTCAAGCTAATCAGTGTGTATGAGAAGAAGCTCCAGAACCTGACTGTCCGAGTAGAGGTCATGGAGAAAGATAGTATTTCTTACACAGAACTGGACTTTGAGCTCATCAAGCTAGAAGTAAAGGAGATGCAAAAACTGGTCATACAGCTGAGGGAGAATTTTGTTGGAAGCACAGAAATTATTGAGAAGCTGGAAGTGGAGGTAAGGAATGACTCACTTAGTAATCAGAAATGCATTTTGTTCAATGACTGAACAAGTGCTATGACCTGGATAGGATACTCTCTTCCCCCAACCCAAATTCTGCTACTGGCTCAGGGCTATGAGGCAATCTGTGTTCTGTTTTGGATGAATACCTATAGTTGTATAGTAAATGTATTGGGAACATGTTGACTGAGAAACAGATGTTGGACACCTAGAATTCTGCCCCGGAACTAAATCTTCTTTCTGTTCTTTAGGAAGTGATGGCATAAATCTGAATTGGCCATATTAAATTAGGGATCTTCTCTGTCTTGGATTTACCCGCATGAGATCAGTTTGACCAGCACAATTTGTTGAAAATATTATTTTTTTCTTTAGTGTGTGTTTTCTGCTTTTTTTTCTTTTTGTCAAAAAATTAGTTGTCCATAGTTGTGTGGAGTAATATTAGTCTTCATTTCTGTCACATTGACCAATATGTCTGTTTTTATGCCAATGCCATGCTGTTACTACTACTACTATGGCCCCATAGTACAGCTTGAAATCTGGGAGGGTGCTATGTCCAATAGCAATAAAACAACTCCTAATGACATATTGCTACATCCATAGATCAGTGCATCACTCAACTCTCAGCAGAGAAGCGTCTCCTCAAACTAGATGGGAAATAACACAGAGAGTGACAGCTGGACAATGTGCAGAAATTGAAAGACTTTGGGGTGTTTGTGGCTGAAAGGGATGTGTTCATTACTGGAGGTGGTGGGTGATTTTAAGGAAATAGACTTTTCCAGATACCACAGGGCAGATACACACATGAGCTTATAGAAACTGACGTAAGACTTGCACAATCTAAAGCCATTTAAAAATCTGAGCATGAGGGACTGGAGAGATGGCTCAGTGGTTAAGAGCACTGACAGTCCTTCCAAGGATCTGAATTCAATTCCCAGCACCCACATGGCAGCTTACAGCTGTCCATAACTCCAAGATCTGACACCCTCATAGGGACATGCAGGCAAAACACCAATGCAAATAACATAAAAATAAATTAATTTTAAAAATCTGAGCATGAAAGAGGGGGTGTGGGCATCATGTCCTACCTCCAGCCAAGAAGCTATTTGTAAATAATAGCAGCTGAGAGAGGAAAATTGGTTTTCTTCTATTGAATGACACTAGGTACATCAACCACAACTCAGAGCAAGCCCATGCTCAGGAGTAGATTACCAACATGAATGAGTTCCATGTGTTTTAGTTGCTCTTTTCTTTTGTTTTTGTTCTTCAAAGAGAGAGAAAGAGCATGAAGTTGAGTGAGTGGGGAGGGGGAGGATCTGGGTACGATAGAATATGATAAAAATATATTGTGTAAAATTCTCAAAGAATAAGTTGAAAAAATAAGAGCATGCAAGAATTAAGGGAAAAATAAATTTCTTATGAATATGTTTTAGCAAAGTCTTTAAAGATCAATGGATAAGATTACCATATTAATGTTATGGTTGGGCAATTTATATCAACCGGAATTTACCAGCACAGTCATGACATGGCTATAATTGAGAATTCTAGTTACATATTTTAGAATTTACAATTTCTCCAGCCCTCACCATTCATTAAGCACTTAATTATAATACAACATGAGTAAACACGAGTTTATAGGGGAAGGTTATTAGAAATGAACTTTAATGGACATTTGTGAATGCCTAGTGTGAGGCTTGCTCTATTATTAAAGCTGTTAAAAATCTTTGCCATTTTCTTCTTGTCACACACATTGCCTGAGATGTGACAGGCATTCAGTCCTAACCATAAAATGTATTCTTCCAAAACGAACCCATTCAGACCAATCTCTGGTGTATTCTGTAGCAATGTTTCACTAAATGACAAATTCAGCCCCAGAATGTTTATGAAAGAAATTGCACAATAATATAAAGTCACTCTGAATTTTTTATTTCCTTAGATAAAGAATATGACTCTTCTGGTAGAGAAGCTGGAGACACTAGACCAAAACAATGTCCTTAGCATCCGCCGGCAAATCTTGGCTCTGAAGAACAAGCTGAAAGAATGCGAGGCCTCTAAAAGTGAGCTTGTGCCCGCCACGCCCCCTCCTCCTGCTCCTGGTAAGCCTGCTATATGTGCTTTTACCTCTTGCATGAGACCCCATAATGAGCCTTGTGCTGGGTGGGGAAAAGACTTGAGATTGTAGTGATGGGGGAATTGTGGCATTTTTTTTTTTTTCAGTTCTGAGTTTACTCTTCCACATTTGAAATCTTCCCACTGTCAACTAGTTCTGTTATCATATTCTGGGGACACAGAGGAAAAGCACAGGGAGTTTTTTTTTTTTTTAAAGAACAAAATCCACTGGTTACACACATTCTCTTTGCATTCCCCTGGCAGGAAAAACCTGTCTGAAGGATAGAAGAGCTATGGGACCAGGGATGGCAGAGCATATGGGATCCTTATGTGACTTTGCCTTCTGGTAGACGAAACGGGCAGATTGGCTCATTTATATTATAAGCTGGGTGTGTGCCTTTGTTTTTCTGACATCCCTTTTTCCTGTCCTCTCTTTCACACTCCTCTCTACCTTTATTTCCCCCCTGAAGTGCATGCTGGGTACCTGCTACAATCTGAGTCCCGAGACTCACCTAGAATTAAAGGGACGGTGGTGGTATCACACAGCATGGACATGCCTTGCTACCCATCCAGCAGGATAGGAGGCATCTCACTCTCCCCACCCCTGTTAACTACAGAACAGCGTATGTTGGGGGAGGGAGGGGCAATTACTTAAATTTATCCATGAATGGAAGCAGTGGGGTGGTGGCTTGGAGAGAATAGCTTTGGAATCCCAGAGCTTGCCAGCCATGTGGCTGCAGAGAAAGGATCCTTCATCTTACTTGTAAAATGAGAGAATAATTGTATTCACCTTATAGGGTTGCTATGGGGATTAATGAGGCAGTGCTTGTGAAGCTCAGGGCTCTGTAATCAGCAGCCATACATACACCGGCAATGGATATTATTAGTAATCATGATAATTGAAGTGAAAGCTTGGCTGTGAACAGAGACAGGGCTAAACCCTGCTGCACTAATGTACCTCCCTCCAGCCTCTCAGTCACAGAACTCAGCCCCATCCTTTAGAGGTTCCACACTAAAGGAACCTCTCTTGTGGTCTTGAGCATCTCTGCCCCAATGGGAGCTATCACTTGTCATCAAATTGTGTCACCGTCATTGTTTTTACAAATGCCAATTTGCACCAGTCTTTTCCTTTGGACTGTAGATTTCTGGATCTTGCCCATGTAACTGACTTCTGTAAGGTTAAGTTGGTTATGACTATAGTTATATGCCTCTTGGTCCTGTTCAGGGGACGCGCCCACCAGTTGTAGTCGGAAGTCTGCTCTAATGTGACTTACAGAGGGTGTTTAGGGCAAGGATCATGATCTGTCTTCAGAGACAGATGAAAGCCAGATTGGTCTGGCTCAGCGTTATAATCACACCAAAGGTGGAATCTGGTTGTGATGGACCATGGCAAGCTTTCAAGGCAAGAGTTAGAGCTGTGGCACAAGCTCGGCTAGGATGAGCAAGCAGCCAACTGATTTTCCTGGCACCGGTTTCTAAACAAGAAGGAACATCCAGGGCCATCACACTTAGTTCTGTGATATTTCAGGGGATGGGCTTGAGTCTGGAGGATGTTGCCTTTCTTGAAGACACACTGGCACTCAGCGACAGAGTTTATGTTGTAATATGTCTGTGATCTCTGGTCATCTCAGGACTCCCTAAAACCCTGAGTGTCAGGTGGCAGCCAACTAAGGGTGAGGGTAGGGGAGGGAAGCCCATTGCTCAGTGTTTAGGGACGAAAGCAAGCAAGTCTTTTGAATTATTTTTAGAAGTATTTGCTAGGCTTTCCCTTAGACCTTCACACGTAGACTTGTATGAGCCATCTCAGCCCAGCTGTGTGGTTGAAGCAAACCCAGCCCAGCCTTTCACGCACTTTCTCACAACCTTGGCTGCGCCTGGATCCCTGCCAAACCACTTGGCTCTCCTCCAGCTTTGTTCATATTATATTTATGATGTTTATATTAAACTGATTTTTGTTGTGTTTTTAAATCAATTTCTTTCACTTGCTCTCTTTATGTTTGGATTGGTGGATAATGCAGAATTGGAAAATCCCCAGGCACCACAAAGTTGTGAGCCTGTGGAGACTTTAATTAAAGTTCCTCACTACTATGGGGCTTTAAAATCTGGCCTGTCTGCCCTTTTTTCCCACTGTGGAGTTGCACAGAACAAAAAAAAAAAAAAAAGGCTCTGAAATAATTCTTCACTCTCTGGGTTCCACCATTCCAGCTGCACTTTGTAACCTAGTGGTTAGCTTGAACTTAGACCCAATATGTCTTGTTTTTAATCAAATGCAATATAATATGTGTGTGTACATGCATGAATGTGTATATGTGCATTGCTGCAAAAAATCTTTTCCTGCTTCATTTCACAAAACTTTCTAACTTAAAACGATTGATCTAATTATGAACTTTCCCTTCTCAAACAATAAACTTCAGTCTATTTTTTTTTTCCTCTGAATCGAGTTGGCAGCAGCATACTAGAAAACACATGATGAGAATTCCCATCGGTCACTGTGTTGCTTGAGGAAGTTAGTTTGCAAGTACATAGGAGGTTTTCAGTAAATGATGCGTGATTGAACAGGACATAGATAATGGGGGGGGGGGCGTGCTAAAATCCTAAGCTTAGAGATGCACAGAGTGTTGAGAGTACAATCAATGATTCAGAACCAACTTATTACCAATTTTCTTACAATTATAATCATTTTACTTGCCTAGTTCTAGGATTGGTTTGGATTTTTTGGAGACAGGATTTCACTCTGTAGTTCAGGGTGTCCTGACATTCATGACAAGCCTATATCCTAACGCTTCTAAGTAATTGGCTAAAAACTACGAGCCACTACCGCCTGGCTTAATTGCTTAGTTCTTACAAGTTAATCATATTTTTCTCTAGATGTAGTACACAGACAGCTTAGCTGTCCAGGTGAGAATCTGCACTGACAGACCCATAATTAAGGGTTCTCTGTGGGCATACCATGTTTGGTTTAAAAATCCACTCTATTAGCTTAAAAAGTTTACATAGCCACGTTTCGAGGCTCAGGACTATGAGACTACCAGGAAAGGAGCTAATGGATTGCATGATGAAGAAAGTACCTTTGCATAGAGAATTCCCTGTTCCTCATTCTGTAAAATAAATAAATCAGATGTGTAGCAGGGTGGATCTCTAGTGTTTTGTAAAATGAGGTTGGATTTAATCATTTGCTAGGTCTTTTACTCCTACATTCCCTTTTGTGGTCATCCCTCCATTTGCTAGATTGCTAGAGACTACCAGAATGGGAGAAGAAATACCCAGAAGCCACTATTCAGAAAACAGCTATGTAAAGTGGAACTGGTATGATCTGATTTTAATGATGGTGGTTACTATCGATTGAGTTGTACTTACAAGCCTTATTGCTGTTCTTTCCAACACCCCTGTGGTTTAGGCATTGTTTATTTAACATAATGAAACTTGCAACTTTCTCCATGATATACAGTAACAAAAGATTAGAGCCAGGATTTGGACTAGAGCCTGTCTGTAACACTTCTCCGTGGCAGGCTGGTGTGTGTCTATAGCTGCTCTAACAAAGGAGGTGTCCCTGTGACTTCTGGAATGAGACGGCAGTTCCAACAAGGCACCCGACTGATTAGCTCTCAGTTACCTTTGCTTCTTTGCTTGTAGAGTTGCTGGAAGGACATTCTTGTTTCTAAAAATTTGGTGCTTCGTTCTCATCCACCAGCACATGTAAAATGATTCCCTGGCCCTGGAAAGTTCTTGGATTATGGGCTGGACACTTTCTTGTTGCCAAAGGGTACTGGTGATGTTGGGATGGGAAATGGGTAAGAAAGGGAATAGAGTATACTTAAGATCTTGATATGAAGTCAAGGGCTAGGAAGAGTGCGAAATAAAGATAGGATGGTAAAAGATCCCTGTAAAAGGGATGGGAGGAGAGGGACACTCTGCTGAGCAGTGGGCACCAAGATGGCTATCAGTTTGGGTAGTTTCCTTTTTGGTTTGATTCTAGCCATTGGGGAAGCCCACCACCCAACCACAGCCCTTTCCCTGACTTGCCAGTCTTCACTACTATAACCCACAATACTGACAATAACGCATTTTTTTGTCCCTGTTTCCTTTTGACCAGATCCAGAACACTAAAAATATCTAAAGGGGGTAGAAGATAAAAAGGAAAGTAACAAAATAGATAGAATATTTAGAAATGACTGGGAGGTAGAAGAAGAAATTTGAATGTCATTCAATTTTAATACTTATAACAGGCACAGTTTAAATTTCTGGTCAACATAAGAAATAATAAACCTTAATTATTATCAGTAGGGACACTATTAGTACTTTATTTGAAGTAGGATTATTGTGTTAGTGATGGAACCATTGACATAATGTTAGCAGTATTGATCGTGTATTTTGGTTCCTTTATGTCTAAAGATTTCACATCAGAGACAGAACACAGAACAGTCTATCGTTAACCCCTTGATAATGTGAGGATAAGTTATATGCATCATCATCTTTTCTGAAATATTGTGTTACTGTTGGTTTGGGATATTTTCTTTCCAGGAAAGTCAGGTTCAATGAAGCAAGCAACCGTTAAGTCTTCCAACCTGAAAGCAAGGGAGGTGACTTTCATTTCCTCACAGTGAAATGTAGTTGCATAAATAAGCTCTCTGCTAGGTATTTTAACCAGAAAATTCAGTGTTAGCATCTGGAATCTGGAACAGTTTTTGTTATCATTAAACTGAACACAGTACTAACTTTATTTTAATAATTCATGCATTGTTTCATAAACAAAGGCAAACAAGCATTCATCTGAGAGATCACTTTTACGGGAAGAAATAATAATTTATAATTTTATTTATTATTTCTTTAGCAGAGAGCAGTCTCTTGGCTGAACACACGTTGCCTTTTTTTATTTATGAAATGGTGCATGCATTATTAAAATAAACCTGTGACTGTATTCTGTTTAATGATATGCAAAATTATTTGAGGTTGGGTACAGTGCGGCTTTATTTCTCTACCTGTTGTAAGGTTGGCTGACTTTCCCACCAACTGTGGATTTATGAGAGCGTTTAAAGAGCACGTATTTATTTCAGGGACTGAAAAGTCCCAGCAGATTGGAAAAATAAAATCAGGATTTCTAGTAATGGTTTCACCTCCCAGCAGTCCTTGAGTAAGGAAGGAAGAGAGAGAAGCATTTAGCAAGGAGGGGACCCAGGCAGTCACTGGACTCTCCTTACTTCCCAGAGCTAATCTCAGGCGGTTCTGGGGAGCTCTGCTTTTGTCTCTAGTTCAGGCTTGTACCCTCCGTGGCTCCTTGATTCCTTCCAGGCACTTAGAGCAGGAGATAATGTTCATGTTCTGTCCCTCCCATCTCCCTCCCTCCTTCCCTCCATCTCTCCCTCCTTTCTGCCTTCCTTTCTTCTCTCTCTCTCTCTCTCTCTCTCTCTCTCTCTCTCTCTCTCTCTCTGTCTGTCTTTCTCCTCTCTCCCTTCTTTCCATGATCCAAGTAGCAAGCAAGGAAAAATAACCTCAACTGTACTTGAAGCTGGATTTTTCTTTGTTATCCAATAGAGTAGCTTACTATTTTTTAAAGGATGATATTTGTCGTAATATGAGAGAATATATGTTCAGTTCTTTGGATAGGTGTTGTAAAAATGCTAGAGGAATTTTATTTTTTTTAATTATTATTATTATTATTATTATTTTATGGCTCACAAACCCTTTTGGTTGGCAGACATTTCAGAGGGTACACAAGCAAAGGGCCAGTTTGCCCAGCCCAAGTTATTTATCCAAGGGTTACATGGAATGAAGAGTCAGTGGGTCAGTGCATCTGGTCCCACTTGATTGTACACATTTGACAATGACTGTGTCAGAAAATGGGAAGGACGAAATACTTTCCTGCCATTCTATGGTGTAGCAGCAAATGGATTATGAAGAACAGGATTCATCTCAAAGCTCCGAGGCAATCACCAAGTGATTTATGTGAAGGAGTGTTCTCTGGGCACAGATTAGGCAAGCCCATGGCAAAAATGACTCTAGCTCCTCAAGACTGGGAAGCTTGAGAATCTTACCATTAAAGGACTCTGCCTTGACCTATTAAATGCTGTATTTATAACTTTCTTTCTGAGATTAACTCAGAGCAACATTGGTACCTGCTGTGGATATACACTGGGAGTCCCAGGGAAGGCAAGGACAGCCTCCCCCCACCCAGATCTATCTTTCATTAATTGTTGTCTTTCCTAGGGATGATTCTGGTTAACTAGCACATTTGGCTATATGAGGAAAGGACATATTTCTACAGTGGTATTATTTTTTTCAATATTGCTACAAAAATTAAGATACTTGTGAAATGCTTTCTGGGAGAAGAAAATATATGAAAAATCAACCTTTCCCCTTTCTTTCTGGGATCTCAAAGTTTAAAATGTAGCTTTATGTAGTTATATTACATCCATTTTCTAACTTGAGAACCTACTGATGAAAACATGAGGCAGCTCTCTAGATCTGGCAGTGGGCTCACACTGAGACAGGAACAAAGGGTGACTCTTCTCCTCCAGAGCTGCCGTTGTGATTGAACCATGACGGGGGAAATGTTGGTGGGGGTTCCATTTTGGTTCTTAGAATGTTAAATTGTTTAAGCATACACTTCTTTCTTCTTTTGTAGGAAGCTGTAGTCACGGTGGTGTGGTGAACATCAGCGCTCCTTCTGTGGTTCAGCTCAACTGGCTAGGGTTTAGTTATAAATATGGCGCCTGGGGTCGAGAATACTCTCCCGAGCATCCAGAGAGAACTCTGTACTGGGTGGCACCTCTGAATTCAGATTCCAGGGTTCTAGAATCTTACAGACTTTATAACTCACTGGATAATTTGTTAATCTATTCACATGCTCGAGAATATCGGATCCGCTATGGCCAAGGGGGTGGTACAGTAGCATACAACAACAACCTGTATGTGAATTGGTACAATGGGAGGAACATTGCCAAAATTAACCTGACTACCAATGAAGTTACTGTTAATCGACCTCTCCCCATGGCTGCCTATAATAACCGCTTCTCATATGCTAATGTGAATTGGCAAGACATTGACTTTGGTGTGGATGAGCAAGCACTGTGGGTGATTTATGCAACTGAGGCCAGCACAGGTAATATAGTGATTAGTAAGTTGAATGATACCTCTCTTGAGGTGCTAGACACGTGGGTTACCAAGCAGTACAAACCATCGGTTTCTAACGCCTTCATGGTATGTGGGGTTCTCTATGCTACCCGTACTTTGAACACCAAAACAGAAGAGATTTTTTACTACTATGACACAAACACAGGGAGGGAAGGCAGGCTGGCCATTCCAATGAGGAAGATTCAGGAAAGAATTCAGAGCATTAATTATCATCCCTTTGACCAAAAGCTTTATGTCTACAATGATGGTTATCTTCTGAATTATGATCTTGTCTTCTTGCGGGAGCCCAAGCAACCTGCCTCGATGTTAGGGTGAAGGAGAAATGAAATGTTGGATGAAAATCCCCTTCCCCATGTATTTAGACATCTGCAGGGGAATTAGGGAGTGCATTTCTTTAGGAGTGATGTTTAGTAGAGATATAGTTCTAGCACAATAGAGACCTAGGATATTTTCCTCAATTTGATTTCTCTTGGGACACACCATCCTCTGTGGGTGGATTTAACAACTGAAATAAGGTCCTTCTGGGTGAAGTTCTCAGAGCTTAGGGCTACTAAGAGTCTAATGAAATCTCTAGTGAGGTGAAATCTGGAAATTAAGGAACTTAGGGGAACTCAATATGAACTTTAGGTAGTGTTTCTCTAGGAAAAATTGTATAGTGAACAGTTATCTACTATGTAGCCCATTGATTAGTCCATGGGGGAAGGGAAACTGAGGCTTAATTAGGTAGATTAATAAGGGGCCAAATATGTACCTTTGTTTTCCCACTAGCTTCTGGAATCAGCTTTGTGCATCCTGGGCTGGTAAATTTGGCATCTTAAATGATATCTGTTAGACATTTTGAGATTTCTGGAGGGAAAAAAAACCCTTTTGCACAGTAAGTTATACTGAAAATCAATCGTATAGGGGTTTCAATTGACACACTTGGCTTTTGTACATAACTCAGTAGAACCCTTTACCTTGTAATTTAGTTTCCAAGGCAGCCATAATATTATAAGTTTACTTAGCAACCAATTGTCTTTATCTACTGATTATGTGTTTTTCTTAAAGATTAACTGGTTTTCTATGAGACAGATATAAGATAAAACTAACTTTCTCTTCTCTTAATATGCAATTTTGGTTTATATGACTTGGAGACTGTGAAACATTCAGGTGACAGTAACATAATGGTAGCATTTATAGTTATATAATAAAGATCTTGGAGTAAGTTGTACAACCTGTTTCATGTCATTCCTATCTTTAACCCTGGAATTTATAAGAAATGAATATAGAAAATCTCCTTGAAGTGTCTGTTTAATTAGTGCAGTGTCTAAGAGCCGATGTTCCAGTTGCTTCAGATGGCTCCATAATCTGGTCTTGGCTAGTTTCCATTGATGTTCAAATCCTAATTTTCAAATGCTGTATTTCAATTTTTTAAATAAATAATTAAAGTGTGCATTGAATCAAAGACTTTTGTTTTACTTACTGCTTTTAACTTTCAAAAGACAGACAAACACCCAATTCAATGCAGTGACCACATCCTGCTATGAGGTGTAGGCAGTGTATGTCTCCCAAACATCTGCACACATGCTAACAGGAAATATCAATGACTTTTAGAAGAGCCCAAAGTGGATGGGTCTTTATTGTTCATTTCTCTTTGAAACCCATTCATTCTGGCAGCTCTTACCATCTAAGTCTTCCCCATTATCTTCAGGGATGTGACCTTATGGGCTTATTCATTTGCATGACTGGCCAGTTATTTTCAATGCTAGCCTATATTTGTGTGGCTTATGTTCCTTTCACAACTGTGCTACTAATAACACTGGATCCAAAAACCTCCAGATCCTTCTCAACTAGTAGGTGTTGGATAGAAAACAAAGGGACCAAGTAGCTTCATTAGAAAGAGAAAACGTTACCAAAGACGTATGAGAACAGTAATAGTGGAAGGATAGAGAAACTAGACTACTTATTCTTACCAAATTCTCATTTGAAATACATGCTAAGCTATTTTAACCATTCAGAAGCAAGATTTTCTCCTCTATCTGTTCGGGGCTCAGCATAGAGACAGGTATGGCTTTCAAATTGCAACAGAATATGAAGATAAAGATGCACATGCTGTCTGAAATACAGGTTAAAAACAGTGACATTATACTTAATCTGGCTTAAGGCAATTTTCCAGATGAGTGTTTCTATTAAGTACACCAAATGACCTCTGAAAATTCTGGAAAAGAGGCAGGAAGCCAAGGTAACCCTAGCAATCAGCTTCTCATTTAAACTGCTATAGAAGTGTTTGCCTGAAAATTCCCTTCAGACCCTCCTTCCTGCTGGCCATGGCATGTCAGCTTGCAATGGCAGCCTGCAGAAAATCTCTCTGCAGGGAAGGCTGAATGATGGAAGGGTTTGGACTCAAGGGCTCATGCAGTGCCGTTATACAATAGAAAAATTTAGTTGATGATTTATCAACTATTGTCTGTTTGAACCATATATTTGTGTATATATTCGCATGAACTTTGAACATTCTATTTTAGATGTCCTTGTGTGTGCAGGTGCTTGCACATATATAGATGGGCATGCATGTATATGTGGAGGCTAGAGGTCTTTGGGTGTTGTTGATCAGGAGCTGTCCACTTCTTTGTTTGAGGCACGGTCTCCCACTGTCCTGGGGCTTGCTGATTAGGCTAGGCTGGCTGGCCAGGGAGCCCCAGGGATCTTCCTGCCTCTGCCTCTCTAGTTCTGGGATTACACGTGTGCCCACCACACTTACCTTTCTACATGAGTGCTAGGAATCAAACTGAGGTCCTCATGCTTGCATGGTAAGCACTTACTGATTAAGCTGTCATTTCAGTTTCCTCTATGCACACATACTTAAATAAGGGTTACTGATGTATAATTGATATGTGTAAAATGTGCATGGTTTTGATGTTTAATTCACTGGATTTTGACAATGGATAGTAATGTGATGTCTACCATAATTAGGAAAGAAAACATTTCTTTCATACCTTAAAAATGCATCTGAAACCCTTTCACAGTCAACACATTTTAGCATCCACACCACTAATTGGTGTGTTAGATATACACAGTATTTTTATTTTTTTTTCCAGGTCATTGAGATGGAAGAACATGTAGCCCTTTGAGTCTGGCTTCTTCCGTTTTTCCTTTTAAGGATAATTAGTGAGTGTAAATTATGCTAGGTCTTTATCAGAGCCCTTAAGGCTTCTTTCACTTTCCATTATTTTTCTTGGGGCTGCATAGAATCCTTTGGGGTCCCTAAGTATACCCTAGTGGCTTGGGGCTTCCATGAAGAGGAGTGGTTCTAGCTCTCACCAGTACACCCCCCCCAAAGCATGAAAGTTCCCTTGTTCCAGCAGTGCAGAGGCTTTTCCTCAACTCTGCTGTGCTTTGAGCATCTCTTACTCAAGTGAGATTTGATGCTAATTCATGACACATGGGGTGCCTCTGAGTGCACTGTCATACAAAGCTGATTTGATTTTTGTACTGATTAGTAACTGTGTGACTGTAGGCAGGTGCCTTTGACTTTCCTGAGTCTCAATGTCATATGCTCATTCTCTATGACCCCCCAGATCAGAGTCCTTTTGGGTGAATTAAATGATGCTAAGCGCATAAACTCTCCAGTTTGTGCGGTTTGTGCTCTGCCCTTCACAAGCAGTTACTTCTGTCTCTTACTTTAGCTTTTAGCTTTAGAGTAGTCATTGTGTTGACAAGGTAAAAAGATAACTGTGGCTGGGGGTTACATTTCCATTCATGATAGCTGCTGCAAGCAGTTTCTCTCTGAGCAGGTACATTTTGGCCTGAAAGAGTTACAAAGAACATTCTTTCCTTGTCCTTGCATACAAGATTGGTCTGTAGACTAGATACTTTCTGTGCTTTGACTCCAAAAGACAGAACAACAAGAGCAGTAGAATCCCGGCCCATTGCTATTTTCTTTTTAATTTAACTGAAGGCGGACTGCCTTATGCTCTGTGGGTAAGTTTAAAATTGATGCATATGTTCTCCACTTGTTTTGCTCTAGTCTACTGGGATATCAGCCTTCAGACCAGGGATGGGCATGATTTTGCTTGTCACTTTTAGTTAAGTATTTAGTTAAGTATTACCTTTTAAGGCTTTGTTAAGTTGCTAACTATGGTGGGTGGGCCTCTTCTTTCTAAGTTGTGAACCACTGCAAAGGGAAAGCCCTACAAAAGAGGGGCAGGGGACAGTGTGTGGCTACCTTCAGGATGATGTAGCTTTGGGATCTGGGTTTGAGCCCATCCTAATCTCAAACAGAGGTCATATCATGAAGAGGGATTAGCTTCCCGTGTTCCTGAATATTCCGTAACAATAAAAGGATATAAACTAAAATTCGAGAACATTTCTGAGGCATAGTCCCAACCAGTAAAACAAACCAGCTGGCCTGGCTCGTGGATAAGGCATACTAGTTAAGTTGTCAGCTCATCGCCAGGCCCCAGGTAGCATAGAATGTTCCCATTTGTCTTTGAAATTTGCATCTGTTCCTAGAGATCACTCAGTGGGAACAACCCCTAGAATCAAGGTCCTTGGTGGAGAAAGATGGCCTTCAGTCTGCCAAAAGAGGATCATTTTTTGTAGGGTATTACCCCAGGATTTCTTAGAGCCCAGTATTCTTGTTATAAGGATGATTTCACAAACTTTAGCTCCCATGAGAATTACTAGAGGAAGACCTCTGTGACTGAGGGCTTTCAGATGGCTTGGATCTCAGTGGATGTGAAGGGAACTGAGGATAAGATGGAATGATGGCTCGGTCAGGGTTCACAGACTGCCAAAATAATTAGATTCCCGTGTTTCCAATTTCTACCCAGGAAATACATTTCTTCCTTCCTTCCTTCCTTTCTTTCTTTCTTTCTTTCTTTCTTCCTCCCTTTTTTTGTCTTATCCCCCCTCTTTAATTCCCATTTAGCTTTCTTGAAAACAATAAACAACATAAGATATATAACTTTGATTACATGTCTACTGTGGTGTATTGCAAAATGCCCATTGCTTTTGAGCTAATTAACATACCCATTGCCCCATGTAAAGACTAAAATTTCATTCATTTTATTTACATTCTGTCAACCAACTCTATCTACTTTTGAACAGTAGCCAACAATTCCCTCTTTGTGCCTGGGGTACGTGGCTTGAACTCAGGGCCTCACATAGGCCGGGCAGCAAGTACTCTACAATTGAGCTATATCCCCAGCCCTCAATAACATTTTTGTATAGATATTGACAGTTACTTACTCTAACGTTCACCTTCGTGGTTATTATCAGGTAAGTTTCATCGTAAAGATAGAAACACCTTTTTTAACTGGGGCTCCACTGCATCGGTTAATAAAACCTGATTAATTTAGTGATACAATGACAAAATCCCTGGCAAGACAGTTTAAGGGAGAAAAAGTAAATTTTGGTTCATGGCTTGAGAAGATACAGTCTACTATGAAAGCAA